AGAAGAAAGAAGTTTTCTGCTGTTTTAGTCGCAAACTGAAGCTGAGCCTGCAGGCGTTTCTCAGAGACGAGGAAAGTCAAACAGGAGTCCCACAGGGTGTCTTCTTGGCCCACTTCCTCTTCAGCTCTGTGGTTGGTACAACAATTTCTCTACTTTTGAATAATGTGAACTGAAAGTGACATCAGATCACAAAACGAAGCTTTTCAGGCTGAATTTGTCTCAGATTTGACTGGGATCAGTTTTACTCCTCCGTCTGATGAACAGACAGGAAGTGGATTAATATTAACGAAGGGCGCCGTTCTCAGAGCTGCGTTGGTGCCGATGATGCAGAGGATGAGATCTTATCACCGCCTGACATTTTCACGCTTCTAAAATAGATACAAACATTAAAATAAAAACTGGAAGCCTTAAAAGAACAAACTGCTACAACAAGCTAACGACTGGTTTGAAATGGAGGCTCCACAGGGACGTGAACTCGGATCACTTGGGTTCAGGTTTACAGGGAAAACTTTTCTAACGCGGCTAAACTCATAAAATAAACTGTAAATTTTTGTTTCCAAACACGTTCAGTAAAAAATGCATGATGGGAATTTTTTTAAATTTAAATTTCTCTCTTCACTCTGATGGAGAGAAAAACCTTTCACCTGGTTTCAGCTTCGGGTCGGAAACAGAACCTGATCTGCAGGTCCACCTTTGGTCCAGATGCCTGCAGGCGACGAGACGCAGGAAGGAAACGCTGACTGAGCGAAAGACACTTAACTACCATATGTTGCCTTGAAGACATGGTTTGTCTTCAAGGTTTCAGAAGATTCTCGTGAAACCTCGGACTCCACGGAACCGGGTCCAGTCCAGTATCAACCTCCAGGTGTTTCTAACAAGCAGACATTAGCTGCTGGGTTAGTTGGGCTCTCTGCTCCAGGGAAATCAGCTGCACCTTTAAAGCAGCAGTTCCTCTGGAGCAGCGACAGGTGGCGCCGCGTTAGTCCTTTTCATCTCCGGCAGTCGGACTTTTATACGAAGCGACGTGCAGAGAAGAAGAACGGAGACGCCCTGAGTTAAGATGGCCGCCGTTTATCGTCTAAAGTTGATCAGAGCCGAAAGCGACGGCAGCGACGCTTTGTAGACGGAATATTAAAAACACAGAAAGTTTCTATATAAAAAAGAACTTTTCTAGATTTAAAAACAGAAAATTGACTAGAAATGGCTCAAATTTTCTAGAAACAAACATTACTTTACAAAATGTTTTTTTTTCTATAAAATCGTTGTTGAAATTAATCTAAAACTTTCTAAGCGTTTTAGAAAACTTGCATCTTTTCAAATCCATAAATT